CCCTCCCCGAAGGGCAGAGCTGAAAGAGGGAGGACTCGCCCCCACAGGCCTGCTTTTGCGCTCTGGCCCCGGGAAGAAGCAGGCGAGCTTGGCCTTGCCTCACCCCCGGTCTCCTCCCCGAGGGACGGGCGCAGGCCCCGGTCTTCAGACCCACCCTCGTCCCCAGACGGAGCAGCTCACGCACAGTAAAGCTCTGCAGCCAGACAGCAACGTGGAGGGATTGGTTTTTATTTCAAAAGACAGTAAGACAATTTTTCAATTTAGTATCAAAACACTTGATAGGGTTCTTTTCGCTGGATTGGCCCCTAAAACTGCTACAACCAAGCAGCATGCTCCAGCACAAGCTACACACTGCGAGCTTGACACATCTCCACACTCACGCCTCACAACAACTACACATCAGCAATGCACAGCAAGATGGCTTGTACCTTAAGACACTAAGAGCACTCCTGGCCAGGAAGGAAGGCCTCAATTCCCTCCCTCAGGGTAGGCAAAAAAAAATTCGCCAAGAAAACAAGGCTGCTGTACTTAAGTGTAACCCAGCGATGAGCGATAAAGCTTGGTGCATCAGCACTTAGTGAAGGCAAATTGAACCCCTGTCTGGCAATGGTTAGAGGGGCCATGGCTTCTCTAAGCCTACCAGGAGGGAAGGGAGGGCGCGGAGGGGGGGGGGGGGGGGGGGGGGGGAAGAGAAACAACCTATGTGAAGGTCCAATTGTTCAGAGAACAGGCTTGGCTTTAAAAAAAAAAGTCTCCTTTTGCCCAAGTTGCTTCCCCACAACACAGAGTTACCTTAAAGCTGAGAAACTGAACTGCTCTTTTGGCAAACAGCTCCTGGAAAGGAAGTTTTCCCAACAGGCTTCCATCCCTAGCCCAGCTACTTTGATTCAGTGGCCCACAGCCAGGAACCATCACACCCTTCTTCCTCCCCTGCCAAAGCAGGGTGGCCCAGAGCTGATTAACAGAAGGTTAATACCAAATTTTAAAGCCAAGAGCTTTGAAGTATAGCTCACCAGCCTCATGAGTTATTTGGAATGTTTACAACAGTTGCTACAAAAAAGGTAGTTACAAAATGTATACATCTCAAACATGCTCCCCAAACATTATTGCATTGTTTATTTCCCTTAATAATGCTGTTTGAAGCTCTGCCCAACCTGATGGCCTTTAACCCTGAGGCAAAGGAGAAGACTTGTGTTTGGTCAAGTTGGCAACTGAAAGTAAACTCTGGTCCCCAAGGGTTAGAGGTCAGCAGCAGCTGGGCTGGCCCCCCCGAGCATCATGTGGCAGAGGCAGTGGCAGGGATCCATTACATCTCATTCAGGTCTAGCAGGGTCTGGTCCAGCATCCTTTGCGTGCAGAGATGCTCCTCTTTGGTAGATTTCAGTTTATCTGGCAGGAAGCAAGAGTCAAGAGTTACAAGTCAGCTTCAGACAACCAAGAAACATTCGCCAAAGAAAGCTTGCGCTAGCCCCTTCCCAGCACACTGCTGCAGCAAGTCCTCAGACCGGGGGTGCCTGGCTGGGTGCAGCTAGAAGCTCTGAAGTTACCTGGCTCATCTGTGGCCCTTGCCTCTTGCATTGCCAGTGCTCCCAGTCAGCACGGTCACGATGTACTTTTAGCCAGTGCTCTAGGCAGTGTTTTGCATGCAGGTGCCTCCTACTGTAGCTAGCTTTCCCCAGGGCTTCAACACTTCCAGACAGCAGACCCCCATGGCCCAGCAAGGCACCCAAGAGCAACGCAGAGGTAAAACACACTTAGAAATAATCACCCGCTGGAATTACAGCTGGTTGTGCCCCCCCTTCCCCCCAGCACAGGACAGAGATGCCAAGCTGGTCACCAAGACCATAACTACCTAGCAGCAGGGAGCAGACAACCATGCCTCAAGGACAGCAGGGAAGAGGCTGTTTTCAGTGAAGGATAGGCAGGGAGCAAGTAGGAGCAAGGGTGCTGCAACTCTGCCCGTGACTACAGGCAGCTGCACAGTTGATTCTCACATGTTCCTTAAGCCAGGAGGAGAGCTCAGATCAGCAACTAGCGCTCTAGGTAGGCTTTACTCCAAAGGTGAGCCCACCCTTATCACTGAAGAGATCCACACGCTGGGACACTGGACAGACAGGCTGTAGAAAGATGTCCTTTAGGTACAGGCAGTTTCTCAGAGCTGCTCCCCAACCTCCCCAGGGTCAGAAACCGTGCACAGAGCGAGAAGCAGCCTTCCTAGAGCACTAGCAACTGCAGCATTTAAAGATTCCCTGCAGGCACTCAAGACACAGCTTCATGCTGTGGATTTTGGGACTTGCTTTCAAGACGTCCATGAGCTTTCCCAACCCATTCTGGGGCTCTGCAGCTGCACTGGGGTCAGGCCCCGAGAATAACCGCTTCCCCCAAACCTTCTTGGTTAGGTCTCAACTATATAGGAAAGTACTACAGGTATGCAGTGTCTTACAGACCACGAGGTCAGTCATTTATTGTTAGAAGCCATCATTCCATGCAGCAGGAAATCCTACAGTCATTCAGCTAACAGTAAATTAAGTCATAGCACTTGACAGGCATCTTTTAGCAGACATAAGCCTAACTTTCACCCCACCCCTCTCTTGGTGGGTGCAGCCATTCTGGTTCCATGGAGGAACCAGACAGGACCCCCTGGACAAGTGAACAAGACTGCTCAAACAACAGCCGAGTCTGAGGGTTACTTCACCACGAATAGAGGTTACCTTTATAAAAAAAAACTCTTAAATAAACTAGAGGATAAATTCAAGTGCCCCATTAAATAGCAGCAATTGCATAAGATTTGCAAGTCTGCCAGTCTTAAGAATGATCAGATTTCACTGTGGTCCACAGCACTGGTGGTCGCAATAAGCTTGTTTAATGGCATTAGTGGGCCCCCTTCTCAGTCACACAGATCATGCAGCGTTAACTTCAGCTCGTTAGAGAGCAGGCGATTTTTCTCAAGCTGGCTGTACAGGCGCTCTGCAGCAGCAACAGGATTAGGGGAAACAAGAGGAAGAGAAAAAAAGAGAGAAAGGGAAGGTTAGTGGAGTACCAAGATGAGCACATCAAATAAGCTGTCTCCGTAACGCGTGCCTCTGAGGATCAACTCTAGGCTATTACACAGATGAAGCCCAGGAGAACAAAGGTTTGTCTTACTCTAACTTGCGTTTCAGCTCAGGAAGATCACAGAAGAAACCAAGTGCGGGCAGAAATGGAAGTGCTGTCAAGGGCTTGCAAAGGCAAAGAAAGGAAGAGGAGAGCACCAGAAGAGGAGCCTGCAGGCTGGGCTGTACCCAGGTAAGGAGAGAGACTTGGGATGTGCTTTAAGCCTGTGGAGCACTTTGCAGAAAGAAGTAGTCCTACCACAGCTGAACCAGAAGCACCTTCCAGAGTGAGCCACACCACACAGCAATGGGATTGATGGGGTTTTAACAGTAGGACAGGGACACCAGAAGAACCAAGAGTGACAGCATCTCATATCTGACCTGGAGGACACTCCTCCAAGGACATGCCTTTGTGCCACACTAACAACCCACCGTGTGTAGACAAGGACTGAAGGCAGTATCTGCTTCGGGTACAGGACAGAGGAAGTTCTGGAGCACAGGCTCCTATTTTATGTCTGCCCCAGAATAACTAAATGAGCAGGGCAGCAGGGCACAAACTGCCACTGCATCTGACAGCCTTCACCTCCCGCCCAGTCCCTGTCCTTACAACCTCGCTTGGTACCCCAAGGCTGGTACCAAGCACATATACTCATCAGCAGCTCCAGGGACAGGGAGAACCAGTCTGATCCTCTCCCAGGACAGGTCACCTCTCGGGCTGGATGGCCACTGTCCTGCCATGCAGCCTGTCAGCCACAACCAGCCACTGCAGAGAACCAATTCAGCATCTATCTCTGCCCATCTACACTGGCACAGTCCTCCCAGCCTGAGAACTTCAGTTCCTGCATTTGGGCGAAATTCCAGGCAGTGAAAAATCCTTATACAACAGCTTTCAGCCTGGCAGAATTAATAATTGCAAACTGTAGCAATACATACAGCGTGCTGCCTCTGCCTGATGAGCGAGCATAAAGCACAGCAGTTCTTGCTGGCCTTAGGCTTCTTCTCAAATCCTTGTACTACAAGGTCCCTAGGAATCTAGGGCACCATCTGAAGGGGATCTACACCACTCCTCATTGCTTCCAACCCAGGAATATTTTGCTCTTGAACAAGACCTGGCCAGGTAAGATTCAGGACACCGAGTCAAGCTGTTCACATGGAGCAGCCAAAGCACGTCCCCCTTTCCAGAGTCTCAGCCCAGTCACTCCAGCGTGACAGCCACACACAAGGGGGGAAGCTCACCTTCACCCAGCTACCTTCAGCTCCTCTCAGCGCTCAGCACCTGCTCTAGCTGCATCTCGCCTTGCAGGACAGAGAGTAGTGATGCTGATTGATTGTCCCTTTTTTAAAGCCACCGAGAGACCAAGCAACAGTCAGAGAAGCCAACAATTTCTGTCCCACCACAATCTAACTAGAAGTTAAAGGAAGTTGTGGTATGGGGGACAGGTACACCCCATCCTGGCCTACACCGGAGCCTACCTTGCACATCAGCTACTACTGCTGCTAGGGACTCATTCTCTGGCTTCCGTGCTGGCTCTGAGCAGGTAGGCTGGGCACCCTGATGCCAGTCTCCAGACCCACGTGATCAGGGCTGGTCCTGGGTCTCCAGAGTGGCAGAGGATGGGAGTGAACTGCGATCAGAAGTACTGGTGACTGTAGGCTGGTGCAACAGCTCACAGCCTTCAAGCATTACTGCTTGTGGACAGGGACCTGATGATCCACCCACATGAGGGAGCAGACTGACTGAAGTAGTTAGCGTGACCCTTCCTAGACCTCAGGAACAGCTCCTCAACATTGAACGCTTGCCCAGGTCTGCTGGGACTAGCTCCGGTGTTTGGCCTGCTCCCTTCTCTGCCCAGCCCGCAGGGCAGCCTTACCAGCCATCCTTGCAACCTGGGGAGCTCCAGGACCTGTGCCTCCTGGTCAGCTAATCTGCATTTGCAGCACTCCCAAGGCAACAGCCCAGCTCACGGTAACCAGCCTGCACAAGCCTAGCAATCCAGTCAGACCAGAAGCCTCTCAAAACCTCCCAGGGCAGAAGTTGCATCACCCACCTATCCATCCACCTACCACCCAGTGTGGAGTTCCATCAGGACAAGCAGGGAAGGGGCCTGCCACAGCCCAGCCTTCGATAACATCGCTTGCAACACCACTGTGCAACAGCAGAGCCACTAGCTCCACACAGTGCGAGTCAGTAATAAACCCTCAGCTGACAGGATCTCCCCATGAGGAGAGAGGCCATTTCACAAGGGCAGGGTGCTACCTCCCACCTGGTAAGAGCTGGCAACTGAACACTGGGCTGGAAGCCTCCACACACCCAGACACTTGTGACAGAAGCCCTACCCCTCCCACAGGATCTAGACCCCCCCTACTCCAGCTGCAGGTTTGGTTACTGAGGAGTTGTGGGTTCTTGCTTTGTGCTTACAGGACACAGAGTTATTGCCCCATACCCCAGGAGAGTCAGACCACCATCTGCCAGAGCTTTCCAAGCTATTACTCTTTGAAATTCCTTGTGGGAATGCTCCCTCCTTCCTCACCCAGACCCGGCACAGAGGGGATAGCCCTGACAGAGAAGACAGAGTGAGAACAGGCTGGGGTAGTTCAGCGTGTTTGGACTATCCTTACTGCTAGTGCCATTCATGTGGAGAACGGAGTGACACAAACCTGAGGAAACCACGGGAGGTGTCCCATTTCATCAAAACTCTGTTCATGGAGGGCTCTTCGGGCACTGGCACATGAACCAATCCAGAAAGGAAAAAGTATTTGACAAGCCACCACGAGGCAGCACATACAGTTACGAGAGGCTGATCAGTGTTTATGATACCAGAGCAACTAGCAACAGACTCAGACCAGTGGTGACGCATGTCAAGTGTTTGCAGCCTGTCGCCAGCTGCAGTGCTCAGTGTAAAGCTCCATGCCACACTCCCAGGAGGATCCTGTCACCCTCAGTCCCTGCACAGGGAGGGGAGCACTCTGCAAAACACGGCTGGGATGCCCGCAGCCCTGCTGCACTGCATTCTCATTCCTGAAGCAAGGGGCCATACATCACCCCCCCACATAGGCACAGGCAGCAGATCACACCCAACCGGTGCTGTCCAGCTGGAAACCAGCCAGGGCTCACTTGATATTTATTAGCTTTCACACCCTGCCAGTGATCTAGTGATGATCAGGTGTAGTGACTTCCCACTGCAAGCCAGCATTTGGCAACTGATGCCAGTGAACACTACAGAGCAGGCAGGTTGAGTAGTGTCTTCAGCCAGGCTGAAGCAGGCACAGCTCCAGGACTTCCTGCTACAAATCCCAGCCTCCCATTTGACCCTACAGAGCATGCTGCACACCAAGACACCGTTTGCAGAGCTGCAATTCACATCTGTGAGGCAATAAGACACCCAAAGGGAAAAAATCCAGCACGTTAATGAAGCCTGTGTATTCCACCAAGGGTGATGAGGGTTACACTGGTTTGAAGGCGACATTGAAACAGTTACTCTAAAGCAGCAAGTGGTCACTAGAAACCTATTTCTGAAAAGCACCAGCCGTTCCATTCAATTTATACAAGAATTGTTTTCCTTAAAAAAGGTGACATCATGATCAAGCAAGAGGCAAGAGAAATACAAAAGGAGCTTTATGGCTCTACACAAGATATGCAGATGAGAACAACATACTCCCAGCTACACCCAGACATTGAAAGGGCAGCCCCTCAGAGCACAGCAGTGTCTGGCACATCGGGTCAAACAGAGGGAGCTTTGTTTAGGAGCAAGTGCAGCATAACTGGGGGGCTGCTGCTGCTGCTGTCAAGCTTCAGCGTCTTTACAGCACTCATTCCCAGGGATGCCCTGTGCACAGTAACTGGAAAAAGGTACTGGAATTCAGAGCGAGATGACGAGAGCATGAATGCAGGGTGCAGATGCAGAACAAGCCACCAAGCAGAGAGGCAAATCCAAAGTGGAGTTTGGAATCGCAAGACTTATCTGTGTGAGACAGAAGGAGACACTAATTTTAAGAGAAGCTTAAGTGTTTGTGCACAGCAAACTTTGCTTAGGGAGCTTTTGGACGCTAGCATTAAGGCTCTTCCTCTGCAGTGCAAGTACCTGGCCTCTCCTTGGTTAGTGGTAAGGACTGTGCAGAGCAGCTGTTAGCAGAACCCACCACAAATCTGAACAGCAAAGTTGCAGAAACATACAAGTTCAGCTACTTCCACAGATCAGTTCATGATCCAGCCCATCTCAAGCCTGTTACAGCAATTCCTAAGGAATCCACTCAAGCACTATCCACAGCCTCTTCCAGGAGGAATCCCGAGACCGTGGCCCAGTGGCTCCAGCAGGCAACTAAGCCACATTACCTTAAAAAGCCTTTCCCAGTGGGACTGGGAATTGCACTCAGAGTTCAAGTCAGAAAGGCCAGCACAGCACTTTGTGTTACACATGCAGATCACAAGGACCTAGAGTTAGAGTACAGCATGCTGCAGGGAAGCCTCCACAATCCTCGAGGCAGAGATCTGTAGAAGTAACCTAGATACAGTGCCATTGATTCTCCAACTATGAAAATCACAGCAAACCAAGCAAGCTCTGGCGGTCTAGCCTGCTGAAGCAAGAGGCGAACACCAGCCAGCTCATATTTACATGGAAGTCATGTCATTCAGGGCGTGGTCCAGTTCCTCACTAATTGCTTTGTACTTCAGTTTCTGGGCATAGAGCTCATCTAGAAGAGGTTTAGGAGGAGAACAAAAGGGAAACAATAAGGGAAGGCAGAGGAGTTCTTCCAACACCCTGGGGCAGGAAAAGCAGTATGGGATTCATGAACAGAAGAAAGTGAAGTTAGATGTGGAGCCATAACAACTCCATATTAGTTCCTGACAATGAACGGGAGGGTTCCAACAGCATGAGGACAGTCTGACCAGCAAGTGCCTTCCAGGATTACAATCCAGCTCCGAGGGGAGTAGAGCCAAGAATTCAAACCACATCAGCTTGCGAGAACAACTAGGTCAGCAAGAACCACTAACAGGAGGAGTAGCAGGGAAGGGCAACTCCATCCACTTAGGTGTAGCAAGCTTCTCCCTAAGGAAGGCACAGATCAATTGAGGTGCTTTGTTGTCACCTTCAGTCTCAATACAAAAACCGGCTTGGGAGAAGTCAGTCACGTAATAGTCCTGGGCATCAGAGGGAATTCCCATTCTGTAGTACACAGCTAGGCAGGGTGAGCCAAACAGACAGGCCACACCTGTGTTCTCCATCAGATAATGGAGCAGACGGGCAGATCACCCACCTTCCGGGGAGGAGGCAGTCATGAAACTGAAACTCTACTAATGCACTCCTTGAGCACTCTGCAGAGCTGGCACAGACTTCTCCCAGCTCTGGCTGCCTAGGCTACAGTACAGCTGGTAATGTTGTTAACGGCTTCGCAGAGCCCAGAGAACTTTGTCAGTTGTCATAAACTAGGTCACTTCAGCAGCAAGGCTGGAGACCAGAGCCAACTCTCAATCAACACGTTTCAAGGGGAGCATGCAGGGATTTGGAGGAGTTTTTGCAGTTCCAAATAAAAGCTTGCCCTGGATCATGAGGTGGCTCAGATTGCTTCTTGGCTGTGGTTCTGGAACAGCTCAGCTGACACCATTGCTATTTCTAGATAAAAAGCCTCCTGAGTGACTCCAGACGGTAGGATGTGGCTTTGAATCTCCAAGACCTGGCACTAAAAGACCACAAAGGCACATGCTGTGGTTGAGGCAGGAGGCCTGTAAGAGTTTTGGTTTACCAGCACCACCACTCCAGCCACAGCTATCCACAGAAGAATCCAGCCACAGCCCTAGATTTAAGGGAGGCAGTTGCAACCTTCTCCTTCCATGGCTTGGGGAAAGGTAGGATTCTGCAACGGCCGGCCTCAGGAGTGCTCCTGAAGTACTGTGAAACCAGCAACAGGAGGAAAGGAACCCATCCTTGGCACAGGCTGACCACCACAACACATGGATGGGGCTTCTGATGATTTAATCTTGAACCAGGACCAACACTGGGGAGTCTGAGTCTTCATGAGGGCTGTTTCAAGACTCACTGACTATTGTGGTTGACTTGCAGCAACATTGTCTGCAGCAGCCAGCCGTGTGCATGAGATTCTGCACACAAGTATGTTATTGTAACCAATTCCTGTTGAGTTCAGGCATTTTTTTTCCCTGTGTCATTCCTTAAATTGGTTTAAGCTGGAGCATAGGAATGCAGTTACATTTCTGAGGACATCACAACCAAGATACACCAGCCGCGCTATCTGTCACTATCGGTCAGATACAGCAAGGTGTTTGGATCAAGAGCTTGAGGCCTGCTGCAGCACAGCCAGGGAACTGTTTTCAGAGTAGATACAGGGGGCATGACTCGAGCCCAGAGGCACCAAGCCTCACCCTGGAGGTTAGGTCATGCTCCAAGTATTGAGGAGCAGAGCAGCGTCTCCACTCTCCAGCTATCTGGGAGACAGCCTTCCTCAGCTCCCCACTCCTCACCACATATTCTTTGGCTTCCCGTCCCCAGAATGTACCTTCCAAATCATCAATGGTCTTCTCCAGCTTAGCTACAGACCGTTCAGCAAATTCAGCACGGGTCTCCGCCTGCCAGACAGAAGCAAGCCAGTTAGTACAACAGCTTTGGGATACAGCAAAGGACTACAGAGGCATCAGCCTGAGGACATGAAGTCTCCCACCCTCCACGTCTCTCCCCAGTCAAGCTGAGGTCAGCTCACCCAGCCGGGCCCTCCCAACACGGTCACTCACCTCTTTGAGTTTATCAGTCAGGATCTTGATCTCTTCTTCGTATTTATCCTCTTTTTGAGAGTACTGTGGAAAAGGAGAGGAGTCAGCAATCAGCAGCCCCAGGTACCTCCCACTCCGGAGAGCCCACAGTTACAGAAGGAGACTTGAACTCCTCACTGCAGTGCACATGCCCACAGAAACTTCCAACTGGGAGTTGTTCACATCCCTACCCTAGTCCAACAGAACTGGGTCAGGCAGCAAGTCCCACATCATGCACATAACACAAACTTGGGTGCAGAAAAATTCTCATCCCAGCAGCATAAACGTCTTGGCTGATCGAGTCTGCCCCAAGGCAGGGAAGGGCAGCCAGGCTTCCCACACTCCCAGCTTCTACAGTCAACATTAGCCCTGCACTGAAATCCGTTAGCTCTCCCAGGAGAGCAAGCACAGCTCTCCTTGCTTGCTTAAGGCTGCAGTTGCATCATTTCCATACTCCAGTGGGTGCTCTGCTGTCACACACCCTCCTAGCAAAACAGAAACATTTCTGGCCCTTGGACAAGCAGCCCTACCTTCTCAGCCTGAGCCTCAAGAGACTTGAGATTGTTGGTGACATTCTTCAGCTCTTCTTCCAGCTCGGAACATTTACTGTGGGGTTTCATAAAGAAAGGGGGGAAGAAAAAGGAAAAGTGGGAGGGAAAGACAGGAAAGACAAGAAGTGAATCCATGTGCAGGGAAGACCAGGAAGTTCTTTAGGAGATGGTCTGCGATCAGACTGGATGGGACCCTGCTTTGAGGCACTTGTGCGGAAAGCAAGTTCCCTTCCCGCCTCCAAGTTCATGTTTTAAGTATTCTGCCAGCACATGCGCAGGGCACTGAGCTGAGCAGCTGAGATGTGGACACAGATTTCTGCCAGACCTGGAGTCTTCAAGTAGAAACTGCATGTTTAGTTTGCTGTAAGGAGGGAAGCTGTTCTGATGGACGGACAGCCACCACCAGACAGAAATATTTATGGGCAGAGAGGACAGAACATTCCAGGAGAGAGAAAGATGCAGTTAAGCTGAGGGAAGGAGCGTAGCAAGAAGACCACAAGAGTTCTGGTTTAATGGTTCGAGAAGGGAAAGGTTAGTACCTTTTCTTCGGCAACAGACAGACACTTCAAGTTCTGGTCCATCACTCTGATCTGCTCCTGCAGCTCCCGGCAACGACTGTTAGTGACGGTCACACGATGGCACAAGCCAGGTGGGGGCAAGGGTCAAAAGGAGCACCAATAACACAATACCACAGAGCAAAAAAGGGGGGGAGGGGAAAAACACAAAAGTCACGGTCATGACATGCATGTCTGGGCAGGAAGCACAGTGCTACTGCTGCATACACGCTAACTTTGTTAGACAAGGCCCAGAGTACAGAAAGGCCCTAACCAGCCCCTCAAGGATCAGCTAAAGCATCCGGACACGTGAAAGGAGCCCAAAAACAACAAATTGTGTGTCTGCTCCAAGCAGAGAAAGTCCAGCTTGCTGCTCAGCAGTGCAGAAGTCTGCAGTAGTTACTGCAAATATTTTAAGAGGCCAGAGACCAACCTCAGCTACAGTTCTGCCCTTGGAGATCTCGCATGCCACTTCAGCTCCTGGCCCGGGAGGCCTTTGCCACTTTAGGACAAGTGCTGTGCGCTCACATGCCCCGTAACAACATGTAAGGATCTCGTGACCATACATACAAAGCAGTGCTGGTAAATTCTCTGGCCTCACTAACTAGGGAGCCCCTCCATGCAAAGGGGCAGAACATCTCCACTACGAGGTGAATCACACTGCAAACTCCACATCCTCAGTGGACCTAATCCTGTTCCAAGCAGGAGAGCGCTTCCAACTCTGAGGATCTAAACCCACCCTGTGCTTCAGGCCTTGTGTAACAAGGTTAGAAATGCTGTGTTAGTTTCCATGCAAAAGTAGACGTGCCAGTTACATGCGAGCAGGTTACTCACGACTCTGCAAGCTCAGCTCTCTCTTCAGTACGCTCCAGATCTCCTTCTATGATCACCAGTTTCCGAGCAACCTGGAAGGGAGAATCAGAGTTAAGAAGAAGGAAGATGCTTTTGTACTTGAAGGCTGTGCAAGGCAGTAAAGGGAATACCTGCAGGAGTCACTGGAGCTGCCAGAGTCTTGGCTAAGGGGAACACTGATGTAGCTCTGCTGAGAGCCAGGCTCACTGAGGAAAGCCCTGTCAGTAGGAAGAGGAGCCGCCTCTCCTGGCCAGGGTCAGCTGTACTAGAGCACCCAAGGGTCTCACCTCCTCATACTTCCTGTCTGCTTCCTCTGCAATGTGCTTGGCTTCCTTGAGTTGGATCTCCTGCAGTTCCATCTTCTCCTCATCCTTCAGAGCTCTGTTTTCAATGACTTTCATGCCTCTGCCCAAAAGAAAGCACAGGCAGGGGAGATGTATAAAACAATCCTGTACAAGCCAACGGTGTAATGAGTTTCAGAGCATTAACAGTGCTCCCCCAGGACCACATTGCTTCCTTATGAGCCACACCACCTCCAAGTGCAGAGGGTAGCACAGGCTGGCCTGATGCCAATACAGCAACCTCAACTGTTCAGAATTAACTGTTACTGGAGCATTACTCCAGCAGCTCATTGGGCTCCTGGACCAAGGGAAATGTGGTGCTGCCGAGAAGAACAAGCCAGGCTGTCTTAGGGACTCCACACAGCTGAGCCAAGCACTTTCCAGGCCAGAATGCAGGAAGAGCCAAGTCCGTTTATAGCAGGACATCAGCTGGGTCAGGCTGTTCACTACAGTGTGTGCACCGATGAAGCACACCAGCCAACTGGAAGTGGACCACTCCCCTCTGAATCACACCACCAGGTCAGGGGACATCTGCCAGAAGGGAGGATGCTGGCAGAGGCAGCAGGAAGAGAGGCTTCCCCACCAGCAGCCACCTTTACAAGTCAACAGTGTCCCAGAACCCACTTATTTCTCCTCCCTTGGAGGCGGGGATGCATGGTAGCACACAGCACTTACTCCTTAGCCTCAGGTTCTAAGATACTCACTCAAGGCCAACAGCACTGTTTGAGTTGCTCCACTTAAGCAGGTACCGACTCCCACATCCAGCCTTGATATCTGTATCTACTTCCCACCCTCCAGGGAGCCCAAGAGGCTCATGGCACCGGGCCCTCAGTCAGGAACACGTCTGAGATGCTTGACGGACTGAGAGCAGCAGCCCTTGCTCACCTTTCACTTTCATCTGCAGCCTTCTCTGCCTCTTCCAGCTTCTGCAGAGCTGTGGCAAGGCGCTCCTGGGCTCGGTCTAACTCCTCCTCTACCAGCTGGATACGGCGATTCAGAGATGCCACTTCTGCCTCAGCCTAGAGGGAGCAGATGAGGGTGACTCAGTCTGTGGCAGGTTTAGCAGGCACTGCAGGGCAGCTGAGGGCTGCCTTCAGGTCAGCGGCAGCACATGGGAAGCCAAAACAAAGCCAGGGTGCTTTATCCACTTTCTTACAGAGGCTGCACTCCCATACACTTACACACATATTAAGCTTCGCAACATTTCACACACACACGCTTTGTCCATGCAGCAGTCATCCTGCAGGTTTCTCGCCTGTCAGCTTGAGCTGACATGACAGTTTAAGCCATAAACACTAAGTAGATGACTTACGCTAATGGGTCTTCTCTGCAGCTGCTGTAATCCTGCCAGGCCATCAATCACAGTCCTATTTATCCACCACACCAGAGCTCTGTGACAGCTACCATTTAGCACAAAGTCAGTTTACTCATGTGATCTGGACATGAGCATTGCTTGAAACAAGCTCTCTCATCAGCAACGCAAGAAAGATTAACAGCTTCAGGTTCAGAGGTCTGACGAGCTGTGTCAGGGCACTGGCAGGCCAGGCTTTCTACAGCACTGCCCCGACCTGGGGCAGCAGCAGGGCTCAGCCGATCGCTGTAGTGCCCACGACCCCAGCAGCCCAAGCCCCGGAGAGCCAGCTGTGCTCTAGGCTTCCTTCCTCCCAGCAATTCACTAATAACCCAGAGGAAGAGCAAAAGCCTCAATCCAGTCTTGAGACGGGTTGAGGAGGCTGTTCCCCAGCAACAGCCACATGCAGACAGCCACCTCAGTTCAGTCATACATGCCAGGAGCCGGTGAAATTGGTGAGAGCCCGCAGGCGCCACGCATTTGCCAGAAGCATGACCACAAAAGTGACCAAGGCTTTAATGAATCATCAGAGACCAGAAGCCATCGCACCACCCCCAGCCAGGCCTGTTACAGCAGCACTGCTATTGACCACGAGGCATCTGCTTACAGCCCAGCCCGCATCAACCCCGACCAGAGCCTGGGGGGAAGCCTAGACGCTTTGGGGACACTAACACCCCACCTGAGCCACCCCAGGGGAACCCAGAATCCTGCTCTCCAGCAGGATTACTGCACTGGTACAAAGATGGACAGGGCAGCAGCCACTTCAGGGCAGCTCTGTGACCTCCTACAGAGACCTGTGCGCAGGCACATGCCAGGCATATATGAAATATCCCAGCTACTTGTAACAAAGCAGCCTGCAAGGACATGCTGCTTCTAACCATGCCCAAGGAGGGAGGAGCAGAGCGATGAAAGAAGCCAGTGTTAGAGCAGGGCCTGACACAAATCATGTTCAGTTCCCAGGAGAGGCTGTCCGAGGTCTTCCCCCTGGTCGGCAGCAAGGCACTTGGCACCCACCCTCCCAGCCCCCCCGCAGCATGTTTCAAGACCAGGTTGTGAGAACGCAAAGTGAAGCGGAGCTCCCATGCCGGCACGCCCTGCCCTTCACCGGGGAAGCCCGCAGCACTTTGATGCTCAAACAAGGCAGTGCTGCAGCAGGCTGCCCCAGCGCCAGCCCCACCGGCACGTTCCTCCGGAGAAGGAAGTGGTCTGCTCAAAGAGGAACAAAATGATACATTAAACAGAACTGGGAAGGAGTCTGCTTGACACACATCTTTTGCCTATTAAAGAGGCGATGAGCTGCAAAGGTGGAGAGCCTCCTCCTTCTCCCAGGGGACAGAGACACACCAGCACGGCAGGCCTCCATTTCCTGACCCCCTGAACCACATCATTTAACCCTGGCTTCCTGCCAGCAGCACTTAACCCACCCAAAAAACCACCCTTGCTTTTAAGGAACTGCCTCTCTCCCTCTGCAGAAGGGTCCTTACACCTCCCTTTCTGCTTCTCCTCACCGGATACAGCTGAAGCTGTCAGGCTTCCCCGGAGCACCGGGGTGACACTTCCAGGCAGCCCCACTGCCAAGCAGCGCATTTCCGTTACTCCATGCTTCTTTCGGGAAGGCAGCCCTGAGCCCAGGGAGCTACCAGGAGCCCTGCAAGCCAAGGGCAGAGCTTGCCTCAGCCTTCGAGGCTCACCATTGCTTCCCCCAGGCCACAGAGATCTAACAGGGACATTCCTCAGGACCCAAGGGCCAGGCGACAGGGTAAGTACAAGACGCCACTACACCGGGAACACTGATTCTCTCCCCTGTAGCAAGGCTCCAGCAAGCTGGGAGAAACACGCACGTTGCCATGACAACACCACTATTGCAAGAGAATTCCTTACGTGGCTGCAAAGAAAGAGCCCAGCTGAGGTCTGGGAGTGGCCTTGTCCCACTGCGTGGCAAAAGCTTCTGCCATCAACCTCAGTAGCAAAGTCCAATCAGTCACCCAGCAGCAGCACCATGCCACTTGTCACAGACATCAGACTCGCACACTTGGGGTGGAAAAGCCTCAGCTTCACATTTTGAACAGGATCAGCAGCAAAGCCACTGTACAGATCTACGGAGAGTCACACGCAGATCCGAGCCAGGCACCCGTGAGGACCTGCCCCGCATCACCCCGTCCAGCATCCCCACGATGACACCAGCCTTGCCCGCCTCCCCGGCCTGACGGAGCTGTGAGCACTCACCAGTTCAGATGCTGCCACGGCTGCTCCTTCCTCTCCTGCAAGCAATCCCAGCCCAGTCCCTGCCAGCCCCCAACACGCTCTCATAAGGCTGCCAGTCCTGGGGGCAGCCTGCCCCGGGCAGCGGAGATCCCCGCTCGCCAGGATGCAGGCAGGATGCAGAGCTTGGGAGTTTTCCGCTTGGCCCTGCACTGGCAGCATCATGAGTGAGATCACTTCCATTTTATCAGCACATGCCAAGGCTACTCACACCTTTGTGCTTGCAACACTGGGCCAGACAAGATGGCCGGGTTCCTCCCCTTCCTCTCCAGCAGCTTGGAGCGAGCGGGGGCAGCCAGGGAACCCGGCTGGGGA